GAAGACTTTGCCAGACTCGTTCGACACTGGCAGTGGTGCAGCCTCTTGTTATGATGCCATTCGCAATAAAGGTATCGAGCCTACTTCCGAGATAGCCGTGCAGATTGCCAAAGGACGGAAGGTTAAAGCGCTGAAACGAAGTGCGAACAAAAACGCGAAAGCTGCGGAGACTCGGGTTAGTTTTTTGTTTTATTTTGAGAGTAACTGAATTGAAAATGAATTTTTCTGTATTTTCGAATCTACTGCAGGTGGCGGGATTTCTAATCCTAGCTTTTTAAAAATATTTATACTACACTTCAAAGCAGTTGCTGTTTATTAGATTGACTGTTGCAGTCATTTCTAGTAAATGTGGAAATAGCGGTTTAATTTTAAGAGTATTTAGAGAAGCTATATTACCTTCCTTAACAAAACTTGTCGTGGCTGCGCAAATGAATAAAAGCTAGTGTTTTTTCAAGTTGTTTTTCGCTTAGTTTTTCCCATTTTATTTATTTTCAGATTTCAAACATACTGATTTCTCTCTTTTTTAGGGGAGATGTCGTACTTTTACTTCGTTTTCTATTCGTTTCAACTATTCAGTGAGTCTTTGCGAATTCAGAATTGCTTTAGGTTCAGAAAATTGATTTGGACAGCGTAGAAGTGACAGCAGAAGAAATAGATGCTGTTATCAGCGAGTTAGCAACTGGTGCTGGTCGATCTCCTAGTCCTGCGTTACTAATCCTTTCTTTATGTATGCGTTTAATACTCTTAACAGAATCCATTTTAAGTAATCTTTCATCCTTGTTTAGACGACCAGACTGACGACGCATATGAGGATGTTTCTGTAGAATCATTGCAATTGATGTGCGGGTTCAGAATTAAATATGCTGTATTTCGAGACTTATGGAAGAGAGGTTTTTACATGACTGATGGTTTTAGATTTGGCTGCGACTACTTAGTGTACGAAGGGATTCCTGGAGAAGTATTGTTGTTTTTTTTTTTGCATAAAAAATTTTTTGCTAGTTATTGCTATTACTTTTATCATCGCAGTATATACTATAACTGTCTTTCAGGTTCATGCAAAATATCTGGTGAAATGTTTAAGCACATTGGCTTCTATTAATCCTTTAGATCTCGCAGCTCTTTCACGGGTTGGTTCTCAGGTGAAGAAAGATATTTTAATTGCAATTGTACCGCCAGATTCTTTTGTTCCTTATTATCTTGCAATGTCTTGGTGGAAAGGATAAATCGTCTATCTCACTTATGGGTTGAATTCTTTGATAAGTCGTTTTAAGTTACTTCATTTGTTAGAGAGCCATTGTTTATTTATTTCTTGACGGAATTATAAAAAGATGATCACGAAAAATTTTTGTTGTGCGCTCTGGATTGTATATGATCGGTAGGTCATGACACGTTTATTTAATTTTAGAATGTTATAGAGGCGTTTTGATTACTTTGATATGTTTCCTTATTGGAGTTTTTTACTTATCTTTTTGATTCAGTTACACTGTTGTTACTGGGTTTATGATTTTTTCGTTGAAGTTTAATGTGTTGTTTTGATGTTGATTATGCTTCGGCTTTTATATAATTTTTGTATACCGGATTTCTGATAAATAAGTTACAGATAAATTTTATGAATTATTCTTTGTATTGTAAGAACGAGTTTTGCAACATCTCTACTTTCAAACTTTTTTAGAATCTGGGAAAGCTTTTTATTTATTTGAGAACGTGTAGTAGAGAGTACCAGGCCTCCTTTGAGTTCAGTTGCCCATATTTGCATTAGATTTTTTTAGTTACTTCAATTTAAGGGACGTTTCAGGTTGGGACATACTCTTGATTATTATCTGTCGCGTTTTTGTTTTTCTATCTCAGCCGTTTGCAGTACAAATGGTATTTTTTTATTTTTGCAAAAATTTGTTATTCTTAGTTTTACAAATGTGAAAGATTTGTGGTGAAAGTGTTATTTGATACGGCTACTTTTAAATTAACCTGTCAACAGCAGCAGATTTATTGTGTGCTTAAACCAGTCTTTTTTCAGCTATTTTACTCTTTCTTCAAGTCTCTTGTAGGAAAGGATGTAGTCGTGGAACTTAAAAACGATTTAAGGTAAATTTTTTAGCTTTCAAAGATTTTTTACAGCAGGAGAATTCACCTTTTTTTATTTTTAATTCTTTGAGGCTTCGTGTTTCCCTTGTTTGAGGTAAAGTGTTTTAAGCATCTGTGGTACATTACACTCAGTGGATCAGTATCTGAATATGAAATTAACAGACATATCCGTTACTGATTCGGAAAGATATCCGCACATGTTGTCGGTGAAAAATTGTTTTATCCGTGGTTCCGTTGTAAGGTACGTACAACTTCCTGCTGATCAGGTTGACACCCAGCTGTTACAAGATGCGAGTAGGAAGGAGGTTTTACAGGCTAAACGGTAGATCCAGAGGCAGCAAACTTTATTTTCTCAGGAATATTCCATTAAATTTTACTTGAGATATATCGGTGATGGAATTTACTTTTATATTTCCTTGTTTTTGCTGATTGAAATTATTTTTTTATTTAGACATTTGTGTTAAGTTTGGCAAAAAAATTCTTTTCAAGAAAAGGTAAATAAAGGTTGAAATTCTTTTAATAAAAAGGTTTTCCAAACAATAAATATCTAAAAAAAGTAAGTTAGATGTATTTTTTGATGTTTTTTTATTTAGTCTCATGTATAATAATAGATTCTGATTTCACTTCGAGTGTAATTTTCATCATCAAGTGTGCTTTGTTTTGATTTTCTTGACTAATTTTTTATGATTGTTTGGTGGTTTATTTATTGTTTGTTAATTGTATGAATAAATGTTGCTTTTTTTTCTGGCATCTGTAAATTTAAGCTGTTACCTGTAAGGTATAACTTGTAACTTGAGTCGATTAGTCTAGGTATTGTTGTGCTCTTTCGGTGATTTTTGTCATTTAGTTTCAAGAGCTATAATGCGAGTGATTTGTAATTTGTAACTTGCTGATGGAATAATAGCGGAGGGCGTTCATTGTTTGAATTGGTAAAAATTAAGTACTTTCAACATTAGCATGTGAAACTTAGGTAGCGTTTATAAATTATTTGTTACAGATTTTTTTAAAGATAAGCATTTGTCGAGAATAGAGGCTTAAATAAGCAGCCTTTTATTAGGGGTTTAGTTGAAGAATGTAGATTGATATTAGTTATGGGAAAAGGGGGGGGGGGTGCTTGGAATCTCAGCGTATTCATCAAGGTCGAGCATTTACAATGAATGACAAAGAAGTTGATGGGGTGTTAGGCTAAGTTTCGGGTTTCACCTGTTTAGTCATAAACGATTTGTATAGTACAATTTTTTAATAATATTGAAAAATGGATGGATTAGGTTACTGGTTAGCATGTTCAATTGTCGTTTTTGCGAGTCTTTTTTTCAAATAACTCAAGTCTTGTTACATATCACAGTACAGCCTTTGCAAAAGAAGAAAAAGACCGCGAGGAAGAAGAGTCTTATAAGCCATTAAAAGGTGGTATTTGAGTTCAGTTACGGATATTGGAATTGGCATTCTGAATGGCAGTGGAGATTCAAATGGCTTAAAAAATAGTAACAATTAAGTTTCTTTTGCCATTTTCTTCCCGTTTACTCTTTCATTCTTCCCATCTTTCAGACATAAAAGTTGAAGTCGTTAACGATTTTTATGTCCCAGCTTTTATCAGTTGGATCGATACGTACGTTTCGCTTTTTTTTAGATGCAACTGTAATTGTTTGCTTTTTGTAGGTTGGACATTTTTTTTCAATACCGGACATTATTACTGATAAAGCAAAAAAGACGCGTTAATTTTTAGAGTTAGAAGTTTTGCAAACAACGAATTGAAAACATATTTAATACGTAAAAGTGAAGTGTAAGTAGGCTTTGTCATGGTAAAATATTAACCACTTACAGTTTTTAAGTGTTAAATAAATTAGAGTGATTTATAACTGATTAATAATTCAGTACTGGCTAGCCAAGCATGAAACTTAGGAATGGTTCAAAACAGTAGTATTTGTTTGAATTGTCTTCTTACTCGACTTTTATCTAAATGAAAATGATATTTGGCTGTTCAAGCTATGCATTTTGTTAGATGAACTGTAGACGATTTGGAAGCTGAACAGTCAAACAGTTTCTGCCTAGAAACAATTATTTTTGATACTCTTTTATTATACTTAACTGATCCTAAGCTTTTTTGTTATCCCTCTTGCTTTCAGTCCTTAAATGTCTTTTAGAGAAAATTCACTGAAGAAATTTTAGTGGGTCCTGGAGGTTGTCATAATCAGTTACAGCACTACCACAGAATAGTCGTTTGAGTTTTAAAAGATGAATAAGCAAATATGCAGTTGGCAGTTCTTTTACTGCATACTGATTTATGATCAGCATTAGCAGGGAGGCGTAGGATGGATTTGAGATAGTGCCTTTGAATGTTTAAGCAATCATCCAAATCTAAAATTCTTTTTTCTTTTTATGGTTCTTTTTTGAAATTTTTAACAATGGAAAGCTTTTTTTCGCTTATTTTTACTATGCAGCTTTGTGATCTTGTGGTACCTTCAAACACTTTTAGCTTGCTTCCTTTCTTTCCAATTTTGATCTATAATTATCAGATAAAACTGGATTGGATTTTTGAAAGACTTATTTCACAGTGCATATTCAGAGGATCAACTGATTGCTGCAAATTTATTGCACTGGTCGAGATTTAGAAATTAGACTATTAAATTCTCTGTTTAGATGCCATTTGGAAAAATGCATCATCTTTTTGAAAACAAATGTATTAACGGATGGCATAAATTAGAGTATTTATTTTTGGTTATTCTTCTTTATAATTTATTAAAATATTAATTTTTTATTAAAACTTATTTTATAAATTACTGCTTGCACTGTAATATCGCTACGGGTAATGCTAAAATTAATTTTTTTTAATGGAATAATTTCTGCTATTTTGAGGTAAAATATTTAGCTTTTTTATTTTTATATTGTCTTAATTTGCAGACGTAAAAGTAGTAAGTAGTTTGAAGATGTCAGCATTATGGAGACTGGAAGTTTGATTTGATTGGAATTGCTGAGCTTATCTGATTTGTTCAGTTATTGGGCAATAAATTATCTGTTATTGGAAGAATATGGGTGTAGCTAACTGACAAAAGAAGATGTTTGGAAGTAGTTTACAAGGTCGGAAAAGTATTAATAAGTAAAAGTATTAGTCGGGTAAACTTGCTATAACAAAATCACCGGTTAATGTGATGGTCAAAAATAAGTTTAGGATTACTATAAAATTAGTCACACTTATTGTTTTCAGTACATTAGGAAGCCTTATTTACAAAATCAGTTAAGCAATTAGAAGTGGTCTGTGAAATAAAGGAAGGATAAGCTGGAAGAGTTTTTGGCATCAGACTTTGAGAAACTCAAACATAATCGGATAGAAGTTACAGTGTTTGGAGATTAAAAAAAAAAAATTTTTTTTTTTGATTTAAGAGGTATTTGAATCTTAAAATGAGTTTGAATTTTTAATTTTACATCTTGAGAAAGTGTTTAATCTAAAAAACGATGTTGGAAAAGTTTTTTTCTAAATTAGACAACATTCTGTCTTATGATAGAGAATTTGTTCTTCCCACCGATAAAAGCATTTCTTAGGCTGTTGAGCGATCATTGCTTAGGTAGAGCAATTAATGGGATGTAATTTTTTTTTAAGTTAGCAGGCTAAAATATTTTCCAAACCGGATGGCACATCATTTTCTAAGAAACAAGGATTCTATTTGCTTTCTAAAGAAAGTTTCTTCATTCTATGTTATGTTGAACTGATCATTAAT